GGAAATCTTTCTTTCCACTATCAGCATTTTTTAAACAGTGCTGAAGTTTGGAAAAAATAAAATATATTCTTTCTAAGAGTATACACGTAACCTGGTCCTTGAATACAAGAAATTGAATATGCAAATCCAAACAGTTGCAGAATTTTTACTAAGAGACTAAGAATGGGTGCATGTGTTATTGTGAACGAACTGCAGAGACAGTGTAAACCCTCTAGCTTCCAGGCATTCTTGCTTTCTCAGTGTGAGATTGCAGAGTCCCAGAAATCCAATGCTGTTTTTTCAGTTCTTGGCAAGCTGCTTACTTTCACCTGCCAGGCAGGTAGTTGAGGGTAGAGAAGAGAAACTGAGTTTTGACCGTGAAGCGCAAACCTGCATGATTGTACTTTTCTTCTTTACCACCTGTAGGACAGACTCTAGAAAGATAAGAAAAAATTTTCTCAGGAAGGACATATTCTGTATTTAATCTCTGTAGAGAGGAAGGTAGATGACTGAAAACCAACATTCCTAAATTATGAAAGTAAATTCCTTTCCTTACTGTAGTCAAAATGGGCCTTTTAATCTTATTTCTAGACTAAACCATTTTGTATTCCAGTTATCACTATCTCTTGGGTGTACGTGCTCAGTAGTTAATATTCAGAAAGTTTCATTTCCCAAATAGATTAGATTCTTCCCTGGTCAATAAGTGACTCATTGTACCAACCACGGATTAGTAATTAATGTCACAAATAACACACACTTCTTTCCCATAGTCTGCTTAAGATGTGTCACAAAAGAACTCTTCCAGCTGTTAACCTTTCACAAAAATTAGTTAAAAGAAATTCCTGAGGCTTTCAGCCCAGCCCTTGTATAACCTGCACTGTCTTGTTTTGTTTTACAAATCCACACAGGAATGCCCCCCATTCACAAAAGGAGTTGGTACATAAGTGAATATAACTCAATCTGTACATTCAATCTGCCATTCATGGAATTTGTGTGTGGCATTTTATACAATTGCTTACTCTCTAATTTAGGGTTTTTTCAAGAACATTTGTCTTAGTATTGCTCTTATCTACCTCGTGCCTGATTCAGGATTATGACTAAACCATGATACAATTTCTGAAGAAAATGTACTCTGCCTTTTCTTGGATTCAAAGTAAAGGTGTGGCTTGGCCACAGAAGCAGTGTTGTGTGGAAATGTAATTCAGGAGCTTCTGCAACCTGATCTCACTGGGATCCAGCTCTCTTAAGACACTTGCTGCTCTGAACTCCCATCGCATTTCTGAAGCCACCCAATTCAGCCTTTACGTGAAGGCTTTCACTCTGTATTTACGTTTCATGTGACTTCCATTTTTTTCATGCTGCTCAGAGCTCCTTGAGATTCGTAACAATGACTCTTTGCTAAGCATGCCTAGCGTCATTAGTGTGGACCAGAAACTGCGGAGATGGTTGATTGCTTGGTGAATATGCTGTTCCGCTCTTGGTGCTGATAGGACATTGTAGTGAAAACACCACTACTATTCCAGATATTTTATTACTCTTAGTGTGTATATGTAGATTCTAAATACAGAATACACTCATGAGGTAAAGACATTTTCAGATAAACAAAAACCAAGAGAGTTTACCTACACCTTTTCACTAAAGGAACTTCTAAGGGACATACTTCAAAAAGAACGAAACTATCTTAAAAGGAATGTCTGAGATGCAAGAAAGAATGGTGAATACATAAATTGGTAAACATGTCCAAATAAATTGTTAATCACAGTAAATGTACAAAACTCACCGGTTAAAAGATGGAGAATGTTAGGTTGGATTTTAAAAATACTTATCAAATACCAGCTCTGTGCTTTTTCAAGAAACACCCCAAATTTTGGTCCTCTGACAGTGAGAGTGTAAAGTGGTACACTACTTTGGAAAATGATTTGACATTAACTGTGTAGTTCAGCATGCTCATACCGTGAAACCTTGCAATTCCATGCCTAGTTACATACTTTAGAGAAATTCGTGTACATGTGCGCCAAGAGTCACATTCAGGAATATTCATAGCAGCACTGTGTGTAATAGCAAAAAACTGAGACAACCCAAATGTACACAGACAAAAGAATGGTTAAATCGACTCGGTATATTCACACAGTAGAATTATCCAGCAGTGAAAATGAATGAACTATTGCTGTAGGCAATAACATGGGTGAATCTTAGAAACAGTATTGAGTAAAAAAAAAAAAAAAATCGAAGATAGTTATAGAGTATCTGAAATTTTATAAACTTCAGAAACAAGTAATACTAAATATTATATTATTTAGGCATTTATGTGATAAAACCAACATTTCTTCACAGCAAGGAAATGAAAAACACTGGGGGCACAGAGAGCTAAGGAGGCAAGAGGACAGAATTAGAAGGATGTAAAAGAATACGGGGGGGACTTACCTGGTGGCTCAGTGGTTAAGAGTCCGCCTGCCGATGCAGGAGACGCGGGTTCGTGCCCCAGTCCGGGAGGATCCCGCATGCCGCGGAGCGGCTGGGCCCGTGAGCCATGGCCGCTGAGCCTGCGCGTCCGGAGCCTGTGCTCCGCAACGGGAGAGGCCACGCCAGTGAGACGCCCGCGTACCGGAAAAAAAAAAAAAAAAAAAAGAGCACAGAGGGGAGCAGGGCTCCAAGCCCCCGAATAGCTATAAAATCCCTAGAGCCTTGCTCTCACCTCTGTGGGCTCTTGTTTAGACTTATATTCTTATTTAAAATGATTTCTTAAATTTTTGCTATATGATTTCTGCTGTACAGGCACTGAATTGAGAGTGTAGAAATTGATTAGACAGATAAAAATCTCACCCCTGTGGGGAAGATGAATGGGATACACAAGTAAAATTATTATACACAGTCATCCCTCCGTATCCTCGTGGGAATTGCTCGCAAGTCCACCACCCCCCCGCCCCCGCCACCATCACCACCGTGGATACCAAAATCCACGGATGCTCAAGTCCCTTGTATAAAATACATAGTACAGTCACCCACCGTATCCACAGATGCAGAGCAGAGGGCTGATTGTAATTGCATGTTCGAGGCACTGTGAGGGAATAAAGTATGACAGACCAGACATGTATTTACAAGAAGCAGGGTGGTCAGAGAAGGTGTCTTATTAAGGAAGTGAGGGGCAGAACCAGGCTAAGATCTGGAACTGAGCATTCCAGGCAGAGGGGATGGTGAATTCACAGGCCCTCTGGCAGGAGGGAGTTTGGACAGTCCAAAGAAAGCAAGGTCATTGTGGCTGATGCAGAGTGAGTGGGCCGGAGAGGGATCAAGGCTGAGATCAGGGAGGTGGTCCCGGTCCCTCTCTGGGGGTCCTCGTAAAAGTGTTTGCATGTGTTCTTAAGTATAATAGGAAGCCATTTGAGGGCTTTGAATAAGGAGCCTAGTCCATATTAGAAGCAGAGACTCTGAAAGGAGTTAGGCTGAAAAACACAGACAGTGATAACAGCAGGAAAATAGACAACTGGTAATGGGATACAAGCAAGAAAACATTTAAATGATTAAAGTGATATATTTTCAGAGCTCGAAGAGAGAAACTTAAGTAATCTGGGAAATTTTGTTATATTTAAGTCTTCATTCATCTTCCCAGATAAATAAGATGTTACTTGTATACATACTCACTCACACTCAACACACATTCTTTTCATAACACATCCATGCCATAAAAATGGGACAGTTTTATTCAGAGAATTAAGAATATTTTGTGCTTTAATTACTTAACTTTAAATGATAATGTAATGATCAATGAGGTCACTTAAAATGTATTTTTGCCCATCCTGAGATTTGCAATATGTGTATGACATGAGTAGTAGTATCATTAAGTATTATGTAGTATAAAAAGAGACTTATTTAAAAACCTGTTATTACTCGTTACTAAATGAAGTTCAGCTGAGAATTATTTATGATGAGAAGTGGATTTACTGTGCCTAATGGGTTTTAAGCTCCAGAGCCCCTAACTTGCAGATACACACACACACACGCCCAAGGCCATGGGAAAGGCCCCAGCAATGTGTGCATATGGTGTTTTTCTGTTGGTTTTTTGGTTTTTTTTTTTTTTTTTTTGCAGAAGTAAGCTGTTCTAAATGCAGTTGACTAACCCTCTGCTCCTCCACCTTGTCACACTTTCTCTCATCTCAGGTAGCACTAGAGTGGTCCTCATTCAGGGTGCTATTAACCCTTCAGTCCCACACAGGTAGCCTTCTCCCACTGTGCTACTGCAGTAGATATTTAAAGCCCTTACCTTGCTTAGCATCATCCAGTACACATCTGCTTCTCTCTTCTTTACTTCTTATAAATATCCACCTTGGCTTCTGTGACACAGAGTTTCCTGCTTTCCATCCTACCTATCTCACTGCTTTTTGCAGAGTGCCCTCCTCTGTCTTCCCCTGGCTTCTGTCCTATGTGTCCTCTCTCGCTCAGCAATCTCCTCTACTTCCTAGGGATGATCCTGGAGGAAGAGAGCTCATCTTCTTTCCAACTCAGTCCAGTCCCTTGAGCCCCAGACCTGCATATGCAAGTGGACGTCTTCACAAATAGCAAGCTTGCGAGTGACATTTGCCTTTTGGGTCCCCATTCAGGTCGATGGCCCCACCATCCACCCTGTCACCCAGGCCAGAAACCTGGGATTTATCCCAGATTTTTCTCCCTGTGTGCTTCATTTGACTCATTTAAAATTATTCCTCCTGCTTCTCCTCCCCTCACTGCTGTAGGTTGGTAGTTCCTCCTCCCGAGGCAGCCTGATCATTGCAACTTTTATATATACATATATATATATATACACATATACATACACACACACACACACACACACACACACACACACATTTATTTATTTATTTGTTTATTTATGGCTGCGTTGGGTCTTCGTTGCTGTGCGTGGGCTTTCTCTAGTTGTCGCAAGCGGGGGCCACTCCTTGCTGCTGTGCAGTGGCCTCTCCTGCCGCGGAGCACGGGCTCTAGTCACACAGGCCTCAGTAAGTTGTAGCTCGTGGGCTCCAGAGCACAGGCTCAGCAGTTGTGGCACACAGGCTCAGTTGCTCTGTGGCATGTGGGATCTTCCCGGACCAAAATTTATAAAACCAGCACCTGCAAAGTACTTTTTAGACCTTATCTCATATGATTCTCTAGTTGTCCTGTGAAATAGGTGCTATGAATTTCCCATTTTGCAGGTAAGGAAACAAAGGCATGGAGAGGCTAATATATTTAGCCAAGTGATACAGCTCACACAAGAGGAGCCAGGATTTGAAGCCAGGCTCTTAAATCATGTACCTCTACCCGGTGCAGGAACTTATGCAACTGATAGTTACCTGTCTGCCTCCCCTGCTCAACTGTGAGCTTTTGCGAGCAGAGTTGGTATCTTCAGTAATCTTCACATCATCTTTATAGCTGGGATCCAGCGCTTGTCACATAGTAGGTACGTTAGTATCTGTATGAACAAATGAATGAATCATTGAAGTGACTTTGTAAATGTCTCATAAACTGCATGAGAAGTGATACCAAGAGTATGGGGTACATTTGTATTTCACCCACGTGTATTTTGTCCACGAGGCTCTAACAGAAGTAAAAATGTCATTACTGCCTTTATCTGAGAAACTTAGGTGAAAGAACTTAAACATTGAGCTTTAAAAGCCATTCTTATTCCTGTTACCAATGGACATTATTAATATTTATAGGAAGCAACCTATCTTTTTAAGGGTTCATCATGTGCTGATAGCTAACAGCATCAGCAGTTTAATTATTGACTTATTCCAGATCTAGAGCAGACAGACTTCCTAGTACTTTGAGAACTGTTGGCCACTTTAAATGTCAGCCTTGCTTTTTACAAGGGATCTTAAACAAGTGTAAGCTTTCCATCTTCCGATGGTAAACTAGTTTATCAGTTAAAATGGAAGGGAGGCTTCTCAGCCCAGATGAAGTTGTCAAGGTTACTCATCTTGCATATATCAAATGTATACATAAGAAAGATTTCAGTTGCTATTTTAAACGCAAAAACAATATGCTTAAAATATAGGTACGGGCTCACTGCAGTTTCTGGAGCTGTCCTCATGGAGAATCACTGAAACATGGCCTCCAATGTTCTTTGTAATAGTAACATGCTTATTTCATAAACCAGAACCCATATAGGAAAAAGCTTTCTCCCCGCATGCAAAGGTTTATAACTGAATGAAAAAAAATCAATTAATTACATGAATATTAAGAGGTTACTTATCTATTATAACATTGGGCCACAAGTTGACTAATTAAAAGGAATGCGGGTTGGAAAGCTGCCACAAATCTGCTCCTTTCATTTAGAGGGCCACAGGCTGAAGCCAGTGATTGTGCGTGACAGACTCTGGGAACAATGGTGCAGCGCACAGACCGTCCAGATGAAGCATGCTCGTCTGAATTACACCGACGACGGGGTGGCCTACAGGCAAACAAAATGGTTAAACAATACATAATCAAGTTTTTATTTGGTATTTCCTGCGAGGCTATACCAGTTGCCAGGGAGTGTACTGTATTTTCTTCTTCGGCTGTATTAATTGTTGACCATAGCTGGCAGAGCACCAAACAGGGACAGATAAGGAGGAAAATGGCATCTGGACATTAAAGCCCCAAGTGTACTGGGGGGAGAAAAAAGCACAAAAAAATTACAGCATATATCAGGAATTTTCCAACTAACGATGTGAGGATGTGGTAGCGCGAGGGAAAAAGAGCCAAACTGAGCTTGCTTTGTTCACTGAGAGAGGCCCCCCCCCGTAACATTCCTTTTAGCTGTGCATATTTTGGCTTCATTTGTACAGTTTTAACTTTATACTGTGTGTGGAGAAGCTCAGTTGTAACTGGTCGTTCCTAATAATTATATTGCAATAATTAAAGTTCATGGATAGCTGTTATGTTCTTAGTCATTTAGAAGCCGCTTCGAAAACCAAGTGTAAGCCAAAAACTTCTTTTAAGTGACATTTCATTGCTGTATAAAGGATGGCAACAATTATTTCTTTGATTTAACAACAATTTTTTTTTAAGACAAGATTCATTTATGGAGACAAATGAGAAACAATGTCTTTAAAACTTGGGATACGGGGGGCGGGGGCAGACGAGGAGTGACGAGATCTTGTAGCCTGCAAATAAAATATTTCCCAACTGGTTTGTAAAACATGACAATCTGTGATAGGCACAATCCCCTTTGCCACTTCTAGAAGCCATTTAAAATGCAAAAGTAATATATAAATATTCATAAATCTTTTGCAGAAACAAAGTATGGCAATTTCGTGACCTCGATTAGAAAGCATATGTTACTGTTTTAATTGAGTAATAAAATGAAAAATCTCCAACTGAACACAGCTCCCTTGAAAGATGGATCAGCCTTGGGGTCTCCAGTAATAATAATGACGATGATGATGGTGATGATGTATACTGAACCATTAGAGCTGTGAAATATGCTTGCCAGGGGCTTCTTTTGTGGTGGTAGTTATCTCTCTGCCTGTATGGCTGTCAGGCCCAGTGGTTACACCTGCAGCCTCTGGGGTTTCTGCATTTGAATTCTAGCTCTGACATGTGGCTGGCTATAGTTACTAACATGTTCTGCACATCAGTTTCCTACCTTGAATATGGGTAAAACATGCAGTGCCTACCTCACAAGTTATTACAGGATTTAAATGACATAAAATTTGTAAAGTTTTTAATGAAGTGCCAAACATAAGGAAAACCCACAATAAACTTTGGCTGTTATTACATCTCCTCTGTTGTGAAGCTCTGAGGTTTCTTTTAGCTTCTCGAAATATTTCTAGTTGGTGTCTGCATTAGACTTGAATGTATTTACTTAATCATCATTGACTTCTACAATAGAACAGGTTGTTTGGTCTGTAATGAAAGCCAAGATAGTGGTTTTGATTACTCTTAAACGTTCTTGGAGAAGCTGAAATTTTAATACACGTTTTCAGAAGCACTTATTAAGACCCAATTATGAGTTGAGAAAAACTAAAGAACAGTATTCTAAAATAGTGTCATTCTTCTAGAGATGGACTTCTAACCACAGGGTACACATACTTGATGATGTTATAGACAGCTGCCTGGAAACACAAAGGCCATGACTTCACCTCCTAATGCTAAGAGAAAATCCTCTCTTATTACTGTCCCATATTTGATTGAATGATTTTCATAAGACTCATTTTAATAACTTTTGTGCATTTCAGTTACATTTTCTGGTGTTTGTTGTTTTTCACTTTCATCTCCAGAAGTCTTAACCCTGAACCTTAAACACATGTTAGGGATTCATAGACTCTAGATATTAGAATTGCACAGTCCATTTCAACACCCCAGGAATTCAGTGTGCTTGTCTGTTCAGTAAAGGGCCGACATTATTAATGGTGATCAATGTATAGGTACCAAACATTTTTAAATCCACAAAACTTCTTGTAGACCAAAGCATTTGTTAAAATAGACGTGAGTCCTCGACATCAGACCAGTTTTTCTCAAAGTAAATCTTATGTCCTGAAAACATTTTGAGGTCTTTAAATAATATTACTATTGAATAACATCTTTTGAGTCATCTAGGAAAGACTGTAATAAAACTTACACATATGTGGTAAGTGTTTTTTATGGGATCTTTACATCTTAGCATTAGGAATAAAAGATTATTAATTCTCCTCCACCGAAATAGTAACAACTGTAATAATAAGTTGAATGTGGTCAGCTTTAACTTAAAACTGGAAAACTCCCTTTCCGTTTCTACAACTGGCCTTTTCTCTTCAGCCGCTTTCTAAGTTGGGCTGTTAGCAATTTAGCCTGTCTTTAATTTTAAGCACCATTCTTCCAGTCCGGAGATCCCTATAGGAAGCCCCACTCTCATAGCCTCGCCTCTCATTGGCTAGCTGGGAAAAGAGCATTTCTGCATAAATTGGATGCTTCCTTCTCCCCGGGAGACCAAATATGCTCATGTTTCACAATCCCCCGGTTTGTAAGCTTGAGTCCATTGCCTGAAGCTGGAAACTTTCACTTTGTAGAGCACAGCACACATCGAAATCCAGATCCAATACCCCTGACGCACCCATGAGTCCGATAGCAGATTGAATACATGTTTCTCAATCCAGTGTTTCTGAGCTGCTCTGACTGAAATCAGAAACCGATGTGTGTGAGAGAGGTATCCTTCAAAGAAAGGTATTTCCTTTGTGCAGCCCCAGTGCGCACAGCATCCAAGGGGTTAACCTGAGAGCTGCTTTGAAAACAGAGGCGAAGGTCACTGGCGGCAACAGCAAAGACTTTTAAAGCCTGCCGTCCTGAGCCTTTCACCCTGCCTTTCCCACCCAGGGGATTGTAAACATTGGCTCCCGGCCACCATGTCCCACAGCACAGAACTTCTCTGTGCTTTCAGCATATACATTTATGCTTTTTTATGGAAGCTGAAGCAAAGGCGCGTTCTTGCTGTGAGCACAGAGAACATGTTTCTGGTCAGGGAAAGGAGAGGGATCCTGTCCCCCCTGGAATGTGGAAGCATGCAGATATGCTTATTTAGCGGTGCTTCACATGGAACTTAGCTGCTGCTCTTAGTATGACTTTCTCAAGTCAAAAGAATGTGTAGAATGCTGTCACTTAATCAGAAGCCAGAAGAGCTCTTTTATCTGCCATTTGTTAGTAACTAGCAATATCGCCCTTATCTCTTTGTCCTTTAGCTCAATCCAGTGCCCTCGGATATGAGAACTGGTAACATGAAAGCACTTTTTACCTTGAGCATTGCTTCTTGTTTTTCTTTTTTAAAACTTCAGAGTTCTTTAATCACCAAGAAAGAAGTTGTAGGGTCGTTTTTTTTTTTTTAATTTATGTAAAGTTGGCTTAGTCCTAGGACCATTGTTGTTTGGTGATGTTTAAAAGAAACCAGGATGATTCATATATTTACCTGGTCCTTCAAAAGTCTGTTATCCATGTAACTTATAAATAACCTTCACTGATTCAGCTGCATGAAAACAGAATGGAATTTCCAGAAATATTATACGTAGCTTAAATTTCTCCCTTCTCAATGTTTTAATATGTTGTGTGTAGGAGGTTACTATCCTTCCGTCTATTTTAAGTAATTTCATGTAATTTCAGTCATTTGATGTAATAGTTTTTCTCTTCAGTGATTTCTAAAGACACAAACGGAAAACTCATTTTGATCAATCTGTGTGTTATAATAGGTCAGGGCAGAAAAAAATATACCCCATACCATTCTTTTGTTTTGTTTGTTTCATTTTGTTTCGTTTTGTTTTTTTTGAAGTGACTGTATTTCAGAGGCAGGCATGTAAAGTCTTACCCTTTTCTTCTGAAATGGCTACTCTGAGCACATTTTGGCATCAGTTTGGATGCTTGCCTACAGAAAGGTCAGTCACTAAGCATTCCTGTTTGTGTGATGATGCTTGATTCTGAAAAGCCCTACAGCAGCCCTACCGCATTGCACAGACATGCAGACAGGACTCTGCTCTAGCCTGTAGGTGCAACTGATAGGAGGTGTGTGGCTTTGCCTTTTGCCTTTCAGCCGAAATGCCTCTTAAAGGTTCTTCACAGTCTCTTCTGGAATTCCAGTTTTGCTTTATGGAATCACAGAGTCTGTTGTGTACCTATAAATGTCCTTCACGTTTTCCTCTTGATCAAAGTTCCATTTCTCTAAATGTGAAGGTTCTGTGAACAGCATCACTGACCCGAATGTATGGGTCCACGGTACCATGTCCAGGTAGTGTCACTGAGCATGTAGAATTTATTTATTCTTGATTCTTGGATTCCAGGGTTGAAAGGACTTTAGAAGTAATCTGACATGACCTTTGGATTTTATAATTGAGGAAACGGGGGCCCAATTATATAAAATTACTTTTTTTCGAGACAATACACAGAGATTATTTAGGGGTATACCTGGAACTCAAACCCAGATCTCCAAAGCTCAGTCCAGGACTGTTTCTCGTACTCCATCCAGGCTTGTACCCCCTGTACTGTGTGATGAGCTCACTGACGACCAAATATGGGATTAATAAATGCTGATATTCACATCATGGGTGCACCTCAGCAGGTTGAAGTCGGCGTAAGTGATTATGAACAGATGTTTTGTACACTGAGCTGGAAGTAACATGAAGTCTTGGTCACTACTTGTTCCTAAGGCATCTGGGGACTAGCATTTCAACTCTTTAGCTCATCAGCTTGTCACGCCTCAATTTTACTGTGATAAGTTTCTCTCAATTTCTGTAGAATCCTCTTTTTCTCTTGCCTATTTAACAGGTCTTTAAGTAAGGCTGACTCTACATTACTACAGGGGACTCTACATCAAAGCTGACAGTATAACCAAAGCTATACATGGAGGCTTTTATGAGAGCACTAAATGCTTTTATGACTAGATAAGAAAGATTGAATATAACTGTAAAAGCCTCAATCCAAGGACCATAAAAGAAAAGGAATTCTTTTCAA